GCCTGTGATTGAGCAAAGATTTAAATTCTACAAGAACACGTGCCTGGAAATAAATTGAATAGCCTGGCAGTCTGTAGGAATGACCTGGAGGGCGGGGAAATTTTTTACAAATGTCCCGGGAAAGAAAAGATGGAGCAGGCAGTCTATGCTGGAGTGGAGTTTGCGCGGGCAAACTGACAGCCAGGGAGTCTGTGTTGGTGAACTGATGGACTAGATGCTGGTATCATGAAGGCCTAGAAGTTTGTACTGACGAGCTGGCGGGCCAGGACCCCTAAAAAGGTGAGACGAAGAGCCAGGGCACCTGAAATGGTGAGCTGACGAGCAGGTATCTGTATTGACGAACGGACGGCCAGGCAGTTGGTGCATGTTTCCTATAGGGCCGACGAGTTTGTGTTGACGAGCTGACGGGCCAATCAGACTTTGCTGGTGAGCTGAAGGACCAGGACGTCGGTACAGGTGAGCTGAAGGACCAAGGAACTGGCTATTATGGCGAGCTAATGGGACAGGGAGTCTGTGCTATCGAACTGACGCTCCAAGGAGTCTATGCTGGTGAGCAGACGGATCAAAAAGTCGGTGTTGGACAGCTGACGTGCTAGGAAGTGTGTGCTGATGAGCTGACGGTCCAAGGAGTCTATGATGGCGAACTAACGGTCTAAGAAGTCTATGCTGGCGAATTAATGGGACCGGGAGTCGGTGCTGGTGGCCAGATGGTCCAAGGAGTCTACGCTGACGAGCCAGAGATTTTGTGCTGGGTAGAAGATAAACCAAGAAGTCTGTGCTGGTAAGCTGTTGGTTCAAAAAGTCTACGCTGGCGAGCCGATGGTCCAGTAAGTCTGTGCTACCTGGCCAAGGTTTCTGTGCTGGAGAGAAGTCTAGCCAGGGAGTTTGCGCTGGCGAGCTGACGGGCCAAGGAGTCTATACTGGCGAGCTAATGGGATATGCAGTCGGTGCTGGCGAGCTGACGGGCCAGGGTGTCTGTGCAAAAAATGCTGACGCACTAGAGGGTCTATGCTGACGAGCTAACGGACTAGAAAGTCGGTCAGAGATTATTTGCAGAAAATGCTGACGCACTAGGGAATCAATGCTGGCGAGCTAACGAGCTAGGAAGTCGGTACGGACGAGGAAATGGGCCAGGGATTCTCTGCAGATCAACAAACGGGCCAACAAAATGAAAGCTGATGAACTGACGTGTTAGAGAATGTGTGCTGGCGAAATGACGGGCGAGGGATCCTATGTTGGCAGGTATTTGGGCAAGGGAATGATGGAGAACTGACCAGGGTTTATGATGGCGAGCTTACCGACCAGCGAGTCTCTGCTGGTGAGCTAGCGCCCCAGGCAGCCTATGCTAACAAGCAAGAGAGTCTGTGCTGGCGAGTTGATAACCCATGGAGGTACCCGGATTCCAGGGAGTCTGTGTGTTAAAAATGTGTGCTGGATGGCCCTTCAGCTCTCCATTCAATGCTGATGAACTAACGAAATAGATAGTCTGTTCTAGCGTAATAACGGACGAGAGATCCTATGCTGGCAAGCAGTTGGACAAGGGAACGATAGCGAGCTTACCAGGATTTATGATGGCGAGCTGACCGGGAGTCTGTGCTAGCAAGTTGATAGCCTATGGAGGTACCCGAATGCCAGGGAATCTGTGTTAACAATCAAGAGATTCTTCAAAGGCGAAGGAATACAGGGAATCTCTGCAGGCGAGCTGACGGATAAGGGAATCTCTGCAATTGTGCTGAGGGGCCAGGGACATTGCACAGACGAACTTATGGCCCTGGTAATCTGTGCAAAAAAGATGACGGGTCAGAAAGACCGTACAGATGTGCTGACCAGCAAAAAATCGGTCGATTAAGGCGAAGGGACAGGGGAACTGTATGGACAAAACTTATATGCTTTCAATATGTAGGGGTCAGCAGTACCAACCCAATGGCCTGTAGGGACTGCTAGTTTAAAAGATGCAGTAAATATAGAACTTATATTATGTGTCACCTGCAAGAAACACAAATTTGACACATTTCCTCACCTGTCTTAACTGAACCATATCTCTGTTATTTTTGGAGATACATTACCAGAATTTTTACTGGGGTAATTTAAGATGGTTGCCATTTAAAGCCAAATTAATTCATTTGAATCCAATGATTATTTTAGAGTCTATACCCACTAGAAATCGATTACCCAAAATGGTCACAACCATAACGTATTTTTTGCACAACTCTTCATTTGGCCATATCTCGGGTATTTTTGAAGCTATGTTCATGTAATTTTCAATGCGCAAGGTTAAATGGCCCTCATTTAAGTTCACCTTATTTCATTTGGATCCATAGATTACTTTAGAACCTATAACCTCTAGAAACCGATTTCTAAAAATGTTCGCAATTATAGCGCATTTTTTGCACCACTTTTCATTTGGCCATATCTCAGGTATTTTTGAAGCTATGTTCATGTAATTTTCAATGCGCACGGCTAGACGGTCCTCATTTAAATTCACCTTATTTCATTTGGATGCACAGATTACTTTAGAACCTATAACCTCTAGAAACCGATTACCCAAAATGGTCACAACCATAACGTATTTTTGTACCACTCTTCATTTGGCCATATCTCGGGTATTTTTGAAGCTATAATCATGTAATTTTCAATGCTCAAGGTTAAATGGCCCTCATTTAAGTTCACCTTCTTTCACTTGGATCCATAGATTACTATAGAACCTATAACCTCTAGAAACCGATTGCCCAAAATAGTCACAACCATAACGTATTTTTGCACCACTTTTCATTTGACCATATCTCGGGTATTTTTGAAGCAATAATCATGTAATTTTCAATGCGCAAGGTTAAATGGCCCTCATTTAAGTTCACCTTATTTCACTTGGATCCATAGATTACTATAGAACCTATAGCTAAATAGGTTTCTATTACCGAAAATGGTCAAAACTGTGACGCATTTTTGCACCAGTTTTCATTTGGACATATCTCAGGTATTTTTGGAGCTATGTTCATGTAATTTTCAATGCGCAAGTTTAAATGGTCCTCATTTAAGTTCACCTTATTTCACTTGGATCCATAGATTACTATAGAACCTATAGCTAAATAGGTTTCTATTACCGAAAATGGTCAAAACTGTGACGCATTTTTGCACCAGTTTTCATTTGGACATATCTCAGGTATTTTTGGAGCTATGTTCATGTAATTTGCAACACGCAAGGTAAGACGGTTCTCATTTAAATTCACCCATATCTCTGGTATTTTAAGAGCTGTATTTAAATATGGCGCCCAACGTTAGTAACAAGACCAAATGAAAAATGAATTTATGCTTCTCCCCATTCTTAGACCAGTTTGTTTTATTTTAAGTATTTCAAATGGCGCCCAATGAATTGCTTCGTTCCTCGCTCGCCTCAAAAGCCGCCCCATAACCAGCAATTAAACCACTACTAATCGTTCGTACACGTGAAATGGCGCCCAACGCATTCCTTGCAAATAAACAGCTGGTTAATTTTCATTTCAAGTGGCGCCCAACGTATTCCATAGTTCACAGTCATTTCATTCGCTTCAAAAAGCCCCCAAAAACAAGCAATAAGACCAAATGACATGGCAATTCACTTGTTTTCCTTTTTTTTTTTTTTTTTTTTTTTTTTTGATGCGAAATGGCGCCCAACGCAATCCCTCTTAAAACAGCTGGCTAATTTTAAAATTCACACCTAATTATCCTCTTCAGATGACAATAACCTTTTGTTCCGCACAAGTGTTTAATAATGGATTATATTTTCCATTTTTCATTTTTTTTTGCCACACAAGGATATCAATTTTAATATCCTTTCATAAAACAAAACATCACAGCATAACTAAATTGTTAACAAACCAAATGACAAGAATAATTGAAATCTCTTGAAAAAAGTTGGTAATGATTTTTGAAAGTCTATTAAAAAAAAACAACACCCCTATTTTAATGAACTGATCGGGAACAGAAAATAAAAAAGAAATGTTTTTTTTTTTTTGAACAATAACAAATTTATCAAATCTGCTGTGTGTGCGGAAACATGAATGAAATGACAAAACAGGACACATTTCCGAAAGGAGAGTGTGAAAATCAACACGGCAGATTTTAATCGCATTAATTTGTGTGACACGTTTTTTGAAAGCCGGGCATTCAAAGCAATTCGTTCCAATAGTTTAGCCCACCTCTCACAAAATAAAAATCCTGAGCCAAAGGATAAGTCTGTTTTGCAATAAGGATAATAGTAGGCAAATGTTTGCGTATGCCAGCTATAGTTTTGGAATTGTGTTGTAAAAAATTTGTAATAATCTTCTGCTAAATCTTTTCAGAAACCCAAAGCAATGTCTTGGCCTTAGCCCTGAATAAAAAAAAAAAAAAAACAAAAAACCCCATAACCTAAAAAACAATGAAATCAATCATGCGAGAAATTAACAAAAACCCAGAATTCCAGCAAAAAAGCAAATCCTCATACCCAAATTGTCGTTCCCATTCCCAAATCCCCTGCGGAATGCAGAAATGGGGTGTGTGCGTTTCGCCCTTTCTCTTTTTTACTAAGGCATAACTCATTATCTCTGCCACCCCTTGTGGTTCATTTTCTCTCCCTCTCTCTCTCTCTCTTTGGCTCACTTTATTTGTCTAATTCTAGCCACTGATGCTGCAATGCCCATTGCATCATTAATTCTAACCCTCAATTATTTTATGGCTCAATTGAGTGAAAATTTTTATTTCGAAAACTGAAAGGTTTTCAAAGAACGATCAACAGCTGAATTGTCAGATTGAAAGTGACAGTTCATGGAAACGGTTATACGGGCAGAGATACAAACGGGATATCAAAATTACAAAAAAAAAATCGTATCATAAAATATTCGAATTGGAATTCTACCGAATCACATGATCGGAACCAAGTGTAAAATTTCAAAATAGTCCTAGAAAAAAAAAAAACAGTGCCCTAAAAATTTCAAAAGTAAGAAAATTTTTTTCTGAAAATGTTTGGAAAAATTTTGAAATAAAATCTGAAGTGCAAAAAAAATCATAAAATTACCAATCTAAAATATTTTGAACTTAGAGGACCAGTGGGTCAAATATTGTTTGTTTTTAATGCTACTCTTCGATATGTCCGATCCTCTGCCGGCATTTGAGACAATAAAGCCTATCAACAATGGCGAGGAAATGCTACTCCTTGTCATGAAACAAAGTCCCAATCGTGATGAGAAAGCAGTGGCGGAACGCGTTCCAAGTGAAACCGATGCGTATGTAGAAGTGTCTGAAACTTACATATTTTTGCTGTAGTGTAGATTTTTAGAGTATAGAAAAAAATAGTGAAGAAAAGAGAAGATAGTGACATATTTGAGATCGATGGTATCACATTTTCTACACCTCCCGTAAAGACCTTATTTGATTAAAAATGAAAGATTTATGGGGACTATATAATATTGGGATGGCAAAAAAATTGGATATTCTTAAATTCAATTGTGATCCAAAAAAAAAATCCAACATTTATTGGCAATTCATTGTGGCGCCCAAATGCAAAATATTTGCATCTTTTCATTTGGGCGCCATTTCCTCAAGAAATTTCAATATTCGCGGATTTAATGAGAATCATTGGCAAGAGGACTCAAAATTAACAATTACAGCCAGTCATCGACCTACCCAGAGACCATAATCAGTTCATAAATGTTTTTCATTCATAAAAGTTTTCCAATTTTGCAACAAAGTTTGGTTCTTCAAATAACTTTGACGTATTCAGTAAAGGTCCTGCATTCCATGTCTCCTTAGAAATTTTACAGATTTTTACTGCAAATATTTCACCTATGGTTCTTGGAGCCTTAAAATGAATAGTGTACCTAGGTATCCATTCAGTCTTGAGTTACGAGTATTCCAAAAAAGTTTATTTCGATTTGGTCCAGATTCTAAACCACACTTCCTGGAAAAATATAAGCAATGTCTAGACCGTATTGCTAGGCCGACGGAAACTCAAATTGTGTTCCTTCGAAACAGTAATAATTGGAATATGAGTAGATAATCATTGGTCAAATAAAGAACCGATCATTCTGGATCGTAGGCCCAGACCCTTGCTGCCGCTACAAAAAAAAAAAAAAAACTTATGGAAATTTTTCAGAAGAAGAACTTAACCTCAAAATAACCTCAGAACTTCAGAACTTAACCTCAAATGTATGAGTGGAGGGTATTGTCGCTCCACTCATACATTTGAGGTTAAGTTCTCACGTTTTTTAAAGATACATATATTTCCATCGGGAACTTTTCAGCCACCCTGTCTCAAGAGCTTCTCGATCGTAGAACAATGGAAATATGATATAAGCCATCGGCAAATGTATTCAATTTGCGTTTCTAATTTGAGTCATCCACCCATTTTTGACCATAACTTCAAAATGACCATAACTTCTCAAATGTTGACATTTCGGGGTTTTAGCTATGTTTTGCGATCCAATATTTATAGTGGAAAAATGGGGTACTTTAAAATGGTCATAACTCCTTTAATATTGACATTTCGAGGGTTTTAGCTATGTTCTGTGATCAGATATTTAAAGAAAAAATAGGGTAATTTAAAATGACCATAACTCCTTAAATATTGACATTTCGGGGTTCTGTAACCAGATATTTAACGAGGGAAAATAGGATTCTTTAAAATTGCTATAACTCCTTAAATGTTGATATTTCGGGGTTTTTTGCTATATTTTGCGACCCGATATTTATAGTGGAAAAATGGGGTACTTTAAAACGGTCATAACTCCTTAAATATTGACATTTCGGGGTTGTTAGCTATGTTTTGTGATTAGATATTTGAAAGAGATTGGAATGGAGAAAAAAAGATTGGAGATTTTATGGTCTTATATGGCGCCCAACTTCTATGTTCTCTTTTTATTATCAAATTTCATGGACAAATTGTAGCTCTTGGAATATTTGGTAGCAATAGCTGACCGAGCAAAGCTTCGATCTTTCGTGATGCTAAGTCAAATTTTTGATCTGAAGTCACATTTTGTTTCCGGTTGGATTTAAGACGTTGCTGTTCGATATTACGATATACCAAGTTTGGGCCAAACCGGAAACTTCCTTAGAGAGTTATCGTGCACACCAGCCAGCTAGATAGACAGCCAAATATATTTGACAAAAATATGGCCGATTTCAAAACAGCAATTTTTTGGTCGACGCAGAGCCAAGCTGTTGATTTCTTAAATTGTTTATTTTGGAATAGAAGTTGGGAGTAATTGGCCGAGTAAAATTTTGTTTGTGTCTCATCATAAGCGGGATAGTTGACACGGATAATTTATTTGTTGATATTCTCAAGGCAATTCAAAAATTCAAATCTACGGCATTGCTAAGTTTTAAATTGAGGCGCGTAGGTGTCTCCCTAAATAAAAATCCTATTGCTAGTTTCTAAACATTTGGGCGCCATGCTTTGAGAATAGATTACTAGTTACCGATTTCTATATGAGTTATACTTATATTGAAATTTCATGAACCCTCTTTTAACATTAAGGTATATTTTTCACTAATTTCTTTTTAAAATCTTTGTGGCTAGCGATCGAGCAGCCATTGACCATGATGCTTTCCGACCATTAGTTCATCTATAAAGATATTCATAGAATACAGGAAGAGTGCTTCGATACACACGTAGAAGTTTGTTTGTGCCTCATCATAAGCGGAATAGTTGACCCGGATAATTTTTTGTTGACATTCTGAAGTTCTCAGATGGCGCCCAACTCGGGACAATTTAGAAAATTGAAATCTAATTGCCGATTGCATTGATAATTTGATTTGAATTTTTAAACTGACGAGATTTGGTGTCTCCCTAAACCAAAGTCCAATTGTGAGGCTGTAAGAATTTTGGCGCCATGCTTTGAGAATAGAAAATAGCTATTTCAGGATTTTTATATCAGTTCTTTTTATAAGAAGATTTGAAGATTTTTTTTAACATTTAGGTATATTTTTTCTAATTTCTCTTTAAAAACTTTGTGGCCAGGAGTCGATCACCCCTTGATCATGATGCTTTCCGACCATCAGTTCATCTATGAAGACATCCACAGAGTTCAGGAAGTTTCCTTCGTCAGACGTATAAAACTTTGTGTGTGTCGAAATAAATTAGGTTCATAAAATTTTACTCTAATGTACACTATGTCTGCAGGACTTTTGGTATTGAAAATGAGCCATGTAGGTCCACGTTTTGGTATAGCCCCTATATAACGATACCTCCCGATATTCGGTATTTTGATTATTTTAGCGACATTATTTACCGGAATTGTTTCAAATTTGGTATTTGAAGTTCGTAATGGATACTACAGCCTTTGATAGAAAATTGTCTGTGCAGGTCCACGTTTTGGTATGGCCCCATATAACAGAACCACCCTCTATTCGGTATTTTGATGGTTTTGATGGTACAGGTCCACGTCGTCGTATAGACCCTAATATAACGACTACATTCGGTAGTTTCAAGGTTTTAACACAATTTTTAACGGATTTTATTTTTTTTGAAAATTACCAAATTCGTTCAAAGTGGTGGAGGGTATTCAAAGTTCGACCCGCCCGAACTTATAGCTTTTTTACTTGTTTGGGAATAGAAAATAACTATTTCCAGCTTTCCAGATGAGTTCTTCTTATACTGAAATTGCATGAACTTTTTTTAAAATCAAGGTATTTTTTCTCTAATTCTCTTTACAAACTTTCTGGCCAATGAGTCGATCGGTCTCTCCATAGAGACTCAATGGAATTTAGCTCTTCCATACTGTCTCCTTGTCTGTGATCCTTCCCGACCTTCAATTTATTTATAAAGACCTTCACAGAGTACAGGATCAGGGAGTCTGGTCTCTCGCCTATTCACTCTTCATGGCGGCTTAGCACACCTATGTAGACTCCATCAATAGCTAACTCTGAGGCTCTCCTCAGCTCGTTTAAGGATTCCCTCATCATCCGTCTTACATTCATAACCCCTGGCCAGGTCTTAATCGCCTTTAAGCTTTTAATATGCTTCAAATATGAATGCCCAGAAGTCCCTCGCCATCTCAGCCAGTAGTGATTTTTATTCAAAATTAAAAAATAAAATCTAACAGTTTTCAGTAAAGTCTGAAGTTTCGAAAATACTCCCGTATCTCACTTCATGTGAAGTTTCAAGGATCAAGATTTTATCGATCGGTTAATATTGATGTTGTGGCAAAATCGAAAATACCTAAATTTGATAAATTTTCATGAGATTACAAAATGGGTATTCGGGGTTTTTGGAATTTCGTATTTTTTAGGATACGACAGCTACTAGGTGGTGTCATATTTTCTTTTTGGGTCACTCTTGGTGCGGGTTTGCTTAGATACTTGGAAATTAGTACTAAAAGGCTACAAGAAGTTCTAAAACGTACAAATTTCCAAGTATCTAAGCAAACCCGCACCAAGAGTGACCCAAAAAGAAAATATGACACCACCTAGTAGCTGTCGTATCCTAAAAAATACGAAATTCCAAAAACCCCGAATACCTATTTTGTAATCTCATGAAAATTTATCAAATTTAGGTATTTTCGATTTTGTACAAATTAGCATCTTTTGATAAACCAATGCTTTCAGTATCCTTAAAGTACGAATCTCAAAAAATCCCACCGAATTTTAGCCGTTAGAGACCCTGATACAAAATTAAAAGGATGGTAAAAATACGTTTATGACATTTTGTATCTTTCATAATTTCTTGTACAAAGTTTCGAAAATCCCCTCATCGATCGACCAGTAACAAGCCTAACATTATTTTACAATTTTGTATGTTTTAGGTCCTTTCTAGCCCTTTTATTGCGAATTTTCAAATATCTCATTTCTCAAAGAAAATGCACGTTCTGTTCCTTATTAATCGGTTTTACCTTTAGTGCTTTTCATACCTTTCAAGCAAAAAAAAAAATAATCCGGAATAACCGCCGTATTTCACAAAAATTTCAAATTTGAGGGCCTCCTGCCGTCTAGATCTGCTCTGAGGAGAATTTTTGAGATTTAACTCGGCGATGAAGCAGCCTTCATCTTCTGCTCTAATACAAAGATGCCCTGTGTCTAGACTCTCGGCTACGTATTGACTGTATTTTGAGATCTTCCACCCTCTCTCTTATTTGCATTAAATTTTAAAATGTCCTTTCCAAAAAAAGGAATTTTTTAATGGTCTCTCAAGATCCTGTCAAGATAGCATTGAAAAATCCGACAGCATCATTTAAAATTGCGTCTATGAATATGCAAAATATTCCCGCTTAATCCTGGGATTATCCAGCTATGATACATATCTCTCTCCCCGCCTCTACTCTCACTCTCTCCGTCAACAGTTTCAAGTAGGAAAATAAAATATTCCCCGAAATAAATGGCAACATTAATTACCCTTTCGCCGGGTCCAACCCCGATTCGATTGTCGTGGCATCCAGCCAGGCGTGTTTTGTAACAAATTTTCCCATAATATTTTAAATGTTCGTATAACCTTCCCTCCCCACCCTCCCTTTGACATTTTGTTGCCCAAAAAAAAAACGGGAATTTGTAAATCCTTTCTTGTTCCCCCTCCCCTGGCAGGGGGAAGAGAAAGGCAGACATAATTCCATAACGATTTTATGCGACAATTAAACTGTAGGTGGATTCGTTACACCCCCCTTCCCAGAAAGGATGACTGGCTGGCTGCCTGCCGGGCTGTCTGGCTTCTCACCAAACAGTCAAGGGTGTACCCGTTTTTAAAAAAAAAAAAAAAGAAAAATGTTTCGAAAGCGAGAGAAATGCGTATTTTAATTTCCATTGTCCTGATGACAGGACAAATGTATCATAAACGATTATGAGTGACATAAAGCCGCAACAACAAGAACAACAACAGCAATTGATATTGTAGTGTACATTGTTGTTTCCACCCTCCCCTTTTCGCTGGCATCCAAAAATCCCTTGTCATCCTCTGGATGATATTCATCATTTGCTGACAGAGTTCCTTTGGCTGGAGTGTGTGTACCACTTGACATTGAGTTGTGGATTATTGCGATTATTATCATGATGATGATAATGATTTTCGGATGATGATCTGTTGACACACGTCATTTCATGATCACACAGTCACCCTCTTGCGTTTCTTTACCCTCAGCCTACCATAAATGTTAAGGGCGCCACATGTGGTCCACAACTTGTTGCCAGCCAAACGAGGCATGGCTTCGTGAGATTCTCTTTTCTGCTGTTGTGGTGTCATGAGACACCACCTGCTGGGAGATTTATTCTGCATGTTTTAGATTTACTGAGATTGGAGTTTTTTTAATTCACACAGATACTATATTATTCGATGGTCATTCAAAACTGTAGACATTTTTCCGATCCTTAACGCAAAGTTTTTATATGAAAAATTCTCTTCAAAAGGTGTAGAAATATTTTTTTTTGAAAAAAAAATCACTCCACGGTGTAAAAAAAGTCTCCCCACATAGTGTTATCTCTCTTTTTGGAGAAAAAATCTTTTGGAGAAAAAATCAATGCACATAGTAAAAAAGTCTCCCCACACAGTATTAACTCTCCAAAAAGTTCGAAAACACTCATCATGGGACAAAACATAATTCCACATATGACACATCTTTCCATATAGAAACAAAACTCTCCATATAGAGGAAAATCTCTCCACAAAGTGTGACACTTTCTCCATAACACTAACTCATTATCCAAAAACAAATTTATATGTATTAAAAAATCTGTCTACTGAGTGAAAAAAAATCTCTCCACCTTGAAAAAAACCCTTTCCCCATGATACAACTTCTCTCCATATGATTTATGTCTCTCCACTTGGTGAAAAATTTCTCCACAAATATATCAATCGATCCACATTCCAAAAAAAAATCTCTCAACATAGTTTTAAAAATCTCTCCAGGTAATAAAAAATATTTCTTCACATATTTAAAAAAACTCTCCGCTTGGTGAAAACATTGCTCCACAAACATATCAACACACTTACTAAAAAAAGTCAATCCAAATTTTGAAAAAAAACTATCACACATAGTGACAAAAATCTCTCCACGTAGTAAAAAATCTCTCCGCTTGGCGAAAAAATTGCCCCACTTATACTAAAAAAAACCAGATCTCTCGACATTCCAAAAAAAAAACAAATTAGAGAAAATCTCTCCATATAGTTAAAAAATCTCTCCACGTAATAAAAAATATATATCTCCACTCTCCAAAAATTACTCTACATATACATATTTTTACATAATAAAAAAATAACTTTAAAATGTGATAAATCTCTCCACAAAGTTTTAAGAATCTATACACGTAATAAAAAATATTTCTCCACATAGTTAAAAAAAAATCTCTCCGCTTGGTGAAAACATTGCTCCACATATACATCTCTCCACTTACTGAAAAAAGTCAATCTAAATTTTGAAAAACCTCTCCACATAATGACAAAAATTTCTCCACGTTGTAAAAAATATGTCTACACATCGTTAAAAATTTGTGTGTCAATATAGTAAAAAATCTCTCCGTTTGGCGAAAAAATTTCTCCACATAAACTAAAGAATCAGATCTCTCCACATTCAAAAAAAAAAGAATCCAAGCTAGGAAAAATCTCTCCACGTAATAAAAAATATATATCTCCACTCTCCAAAAATTACTCTACATATACATATTTTTACATAATAAAAAAATAACTTTAAAATGTGATAAATCTCTCCACAAAGTTTTAAGAATCTATACACGTAATAAAAAATATTTCTCCACATAGTTAAAAAAAAATCTCTCCGCTTGGTGAAAACATTGCTCCACATATACATCTCTCCACTTACTGAAAAAAGTCAATCTAAATTTTGAAAAACCTCTCCACATAATGACAAAAATTTCTCCACGTTGTAAAAAATATGTCTACACATCGTTAAAAATTTGTGTGTCAATATAGTAAAAAATCTCTCCGTTTGGCGAAAAAATTTCTCCACATAAACTAAAGAATCAGATCTCTCCACATTCAAAAAAAAAAGAATCCAAGCTAGGAAAAATCTCTCCACGTAATAAAAAATATATCTCTCCGCTTGGTTCAAAATTGTTATAAATATATATCTATCTACATACTAGAAAAACCTATCCAAATTTTAAAAAATCTCTCCACGTATTAAAAAATATGTCTCCACATAGTAAAAAATATGTCTCTAAAAAGTTAAAAATCTCCTTTCTTGGTGAAAAAATTGGTCCACATCTACTGAAAAAAATCACATCTCTCCACATTCCAAAAAAATAATCCAAATTATAAAAATCTCTCCACATAGTGAAAAAAATCTCTCCACGCAATAAAAAGTATGTCTCCACACAGTAAAAAATCTCTCCGATTAGTTAAAATTTTTTATAAAGATATATCTTTACTTGAAAAACCTATCCAAATTTTGGATAGTGACAAAAATCTCTCCACGAAGTAAAATATATTTCTACACATAGTAAAAAATATGTCTCCGCATAGTTAAAAATCTCTCCGCTTGGTGAAGAAATTGTTCCACATACACTAAAAAAAATCATATCTCTCCACATTCCAAATATATAATCAAATTTATAAAAAATCTCTCCACATAGTGACAAATTATGAAAAACATCTCCACATACCTACAAAAATCTTTCTACATAATAAAGAAATCTCTTCGCTGGGTGAAAAAAATGCTTCACATATACATCTCTCCAAATACTAAAAAAATCAATCCAAATTTTTAAAAAATCTCTCCACATGGTGACAAAAATCTCTCCACGTACTAAAAAAATGTGTCTCCACATAATAATAATTATCAACAAAGTGAAAAAATTCCTACAAATAATGAACAGATCTCTGCACGTAGTAGAAAAATCTCTCCACTTAGTGAAAAATCTCTCCAATTCTTGGTAAAACTTTTCTTCACACAGTAAACAAATGTCTCCACGCTGAAAAGATCTTTCCACATCATGAAAAAGTCCCTCTGCCTGATGAAACAATTTCTCCACATAGTGAAAAATCTCTCCACATGTTAAAACAAATTATCCACATATTAAAAAAAATCTCTCCACTTAGTAAAAAACGTCCCTAGATATAATGATAAGATCTCTCGATATAGTAGAAAAATTTCTCCACTTAGTGAAAAATCTGAAAATCTCTCTTTCTTCACATAGTGAACAAATGTCTCCACGAAGGAAAGATCTTTCCTCGTCATGAAAAAATTCCTCCGCCTGGTGAAAAGAATTTCTCCATATACCATATACAAAATATCTCCACATGTTTAAACAAATTCTCCACATATTAAAAATAAACTCTCCACAAGAGACAAATATCTCTCCACTTCGTGAAAAAAACGTATCCACCTAATGGAAGTTATCTACAGTGTGAAAAAAAAATCCCCACACATAATGAAAAGATGTCTCCACAAAATAGAAAAATCTCTCCACTTGGTGAAAAAATCTCTCCAATTTATGTAAAAAATTCTTCCCACTTGATAAATCTTTGCTCCACATAGTGAACAAATGACTCCACGTGGAAAAGATCTTATCACATAATAAAAAATCTCTCCACACACTAAAACAAATTCTCCTTATATTAAAAAATCTCTCCACAATAGACAAAAATCTCTTCACTTAGTGAAAAAAATGTCTTCACATCCCTACAGAATGTCCCTACAGAGTGAAAATATTCCAACATATAATAAAAAAAAAATTCTCCACTAAGTGAGCAAATCTCTCCAATTAGTGAAAAATCTTTTCACTCCTCCGCAAAGTGAAAAAACTTGTCCATGTAGGAAAGATCTTCCCTCGTCATGAAAAATATCTCTACGCTCCACATGTTAAAACAAACTCTCCATTTAATAACAAAATCTCACTACAAGTGGCAAAAATCTCTCCACTTAATGAAAAAATGTCTCCACATAATAAAGAATCTCATGATCGAATCCCCCACTTTGAAAACAAAAAAGGTGACTCATTGGAAGTTCGTACTAAAAAGTACCAAAAAATACTAAGAACTGTGTTTATGGAGCTACAATTCTGTACTTCTAGTGCTAAAATCTTAAAATCGCAATAACCAAAAATTATAATATTTAATACAGTTTTTTATGTACTCGTACCAAAAGGTACTAATTTTACCAATTTTGTGAACTTTTTTCCTGAATCCCTAATTTTATTCAATATTCTATTCTATTTTTATTTTCAGAATGGATAATTTACATGATGTCACCTTCTTCCCCTTTGAGGGTCCTGAGGATGCCCTGCGGAGTTTGCTGACTCGATGGAATCTACTGCATTTGTTTGATGCCCTCAAAAGTAGGTTAACACCACCTCAAAAAACCCACTGAAAATAATAAAAAAAATGCCTTCCTTATTTTCAGATGAAAACATGACAGTTGATGTTTTGAAAATCCTCAATGCGGGAGAACTGAAAGAGCTGACGCAGTCCTGGAAAATGGGTGATCGAGTGCTGTTCAATTATCATTTCGAAAAATGGCGTGAGGAAATAAATCTACCCATATCTGTAAGAAAAACCCATAGTCCTCTACCCGAACCGCTGGGATCTGTGATGCCCACCGAAAATCCTGACTTCCTTACCATCCACATGCCCTCATCACTGAATAATTTAACACCTCACTCGACGGGCTCACGATCGCCCAGCAATCGTTCCCTACACTCGGTGGATATCTCCCCCGAGACGGCAGAGAAACACAAAGTCACAGTGGCCGAAATACTCAGCAGTCATCGAAATGGTCAACGTGTCATGGAGGCCTACAAGAAAAACCGACGTCTAAATGAGGAGCAAAGAAATCTCCTGATTACCATGATTGGTAGCTATTTTGAGCAACGTAGCTTTCACATGTCCCTGCAGACCAGCTATCGCCTGGAGAAGGAGATTCTCGGTATGTTTCCCACCGAAAAGTTGGAGTTTTATCGCACCGAGAGAAGAGGGAGAATTTATACCAAATATCAAAATATCAAGAAATCTTCCAGGGTGTTTTCGGATGATGAAGAGGGTGGGGCCCTGGGTCCCAAATCACCGAAAATCCAAAAAGTTGGTAAGTAAGCAAAAGGTAGGTAGCCGAAAGGGAGAACATTTTCTGGGGATTTTTAAGGATTCTGAGGAATGGGGCAAACTTTTTATAACCAGGGGGGGGGCTTGCTGATAAAAGAGTATTCACTGGTTTTCGACCCCTCTTTCTCGGATAGAATACCTTCCACGTGTTTAATAAAAAACGACTCTCTTCATGTCTTCCATAATTGGAAGAGGTTCCACATGCCTTGTTTGGATAGAAAATTTTCCCTTCTATACATTGAAGACCTGCCGCAGGACCTCTAAATATTGAAGTTTTTCTACAGGTCTCGAAGACCATCCACACTTTGTAGACCCTCCTCTTGTATTTTCGTGTAAAATACTTTTATTGACCTTCCACTGTTGAAATATCTTCCACATGTCTTCTATAGTTAATTTAGCCACCACAGATCATAAATACCTTCCAGAACCAATAAAAAAGGATATTGAAGACCTTCCATAGATCTTCCACAGTTGAAAGAACTTTTATGGAGGACCCCCAAAATCCGTTTAAGGATAACATATCATCCACAGGTCCTCAATAAACAAAATACGTTCCACAGATATTCCAAACATTTCCAAAGTTCTTCTATAGGTAGAATACCATCTACATTTCTTCTAAGGATTAAACACCTTCTACACGTTCTCCATAGACAAAATACGTTCCACAGGACTTCCGTGCTTGAAAGAATTTGCACAGTTCATTTACAACAAGAAGACCTCTCACAATCCTTCTGAGGATTTAATGCCTTCTACATATCCTCGATAGACAAAATACGTTCCACAAGTCTTCCATTGATGTAACAACTCTCACAGATCTATTATAGCTAGAAGCCAACCCACAATCTTTTTAAGGATTAAATACCTTCCACATGTCCTCCATAGACAAAATACATTCCACAAGACTTCCATTGGTGGTCCATAGCTGAAAAATGTCAAGCTTTTCTATAGCTAGATGCCTTGTACAATTCTTCTAAGGAATAAATACCTTCGGAATGTCCTAAGGATTGAATATCTTCCACATGTTTTCCATAGACAAATTACCTTCCACATTAGTGTTAATAGTTGAAAGAGTATACATATTTCCATTTCAGCTAGAAGACCTCTCACAATCCTTTGAGGATTGAATAAATTCCACATGTCCCCGTAGAATAAAATAAGTTCCACAGATTTTCCATAGCTGAAAAAACGTCCGTAGCTTTTTTATATCTGAAATACCTTCTAACATTCATTCTAAAAATTGGGTACCTTCCACATATCCTCCACAGGCAAAATACGTTCCCTCAAGTGTTTCATAGCTGCAAGCACTTCCACTGTTCTGCTATAGCAAAAATACCTTCCACAATCTCTCTTTGGATGGAATAGCTACCACATGTCCTCAGTGACGAAATATCATCTGTGGCTCCCGTTTTAAATAGAATTTTTTTTCCCAAAAGAGGGTCTCCCTCCTGGGGTTTCCTCCCCAGGGGTTCTACAGACCGAATACCTACCACAGAAGTCTTTAAAACTCATTCCTTAAAATCCTTTAAAACTTTTTTTCTAATCAAATATTGTTGACCTATTTTCTCTAATACATTCCGTATATCTTCTTCTCTCCCTCCTCTCTCCAGTACCTGAACAAGATGCCTCGGCCTGGGTCCACACCTTAAAGTATGCCAATCTAACATCTGTGGAATTCGATATAACCTGGCAGGCATGCAGCAATTATCGCATCAATCAAATTTTCAATGAATGTCAAAATATTAGCGATATCCTGACGAAGTGGCCCCAGTATTTGAGACCCGAGGGATATAAATTGGTAAGTGACGGGGGAAAAGGGTTAAAAAATGCCTGAAAAGTGGGGGGAAATTATATCCAAATAAATATGTTGTCATGTTTTCCCGAGAGAACCCCTTCTGGGGTAACCATTTTCTATCCAACAAACTCTAAGGACCTCTTTCTTTCTTCTCTCTTTTCAGATCGACAAGGATTTCAATGAACTTTTCAAAAACTATGACAGCATCAGCAATTGGAATTGCAAAGTGCAGAAGCTATGTAAATTCCTAAAGAAACTGAAAAATGTGCGGGATGTCTCCAACAAAAGGATACTGGAGTCGATATTGGATAAACAGTCCACAGAGGGTAAGTTACGCCAAAAAATAAGCGACCTCTAAAAATATTTAATCAAAAAAAAATAAAATTCTGGAATACCTTCCAGAACCGATAAAAGAATCCAATTTCAAAATTTTTAATTTTTTCCGTATATCCTTATTTTTCAAAAATTAAAATCTCTCTCTTTTCTCCTCCCCCTTAGATCCCGATGTCTTCGCCTTGAAAACGCTGTGGTGCCTGCACTCCTATCTCCATCCCACTTCGCGGTTTGTGCGACGCGATGCCAACGGCAATAAAAATATCCAACGTTTTACGGTCAAGGATTCCCAAGAGTCCTTTCTCTATGTCGATCTCACAATACAGGGTCTGGAGAAGCATATCGAGTCTCTGCTGCAACGAGGCGAGAGTATACAACCCTTTATTCTGGCCGTAGGAGATTCCACATTCTCAACAATTGAACAATGTTTTGTCTACTTGGATGGCAACCTGATAGCCTTTGAAAGTTTCCTCAAAGCTCTGGATGTTTGCTTTAAATCCTTTCATTTGTTTAACCTAAAATATCCGAAGGCCTCAGATCCTTTTTGGACATTTGTGGAGGCGTATTTCTATGACATTGATACGGGATCGAAGAAAAGTTATAAAATTAATACCCTACTGCAGGAGTTGAGGGATTAATGGGAAGTAGGGGAAAGGGGTAATGAGGAACAGGAGAAGGACGTGAGGGGGTGGGATAAAGAGACTCTATATGTAAATATGCTCTTTGTAAAATATGTACATAAATTATATTAAGGATATTTGTATGTATGTAAAATTGTTCGGATATGAGATATGGATTAGAAAATATTTATTATTTTTAAATTCATATAATTATAAACAATAATAAAAAATAATATAATAATAATTTTTAAAAAATTCTATTTTTAATTGTTTTTTTTTTTTTTTTTTTTTTTTTTTGGAAAAATTAAATGTAGAGCCCACTATAGAGTAGATGGCCTTCAGGGTCCACTTTTTTTAAATTTTTTGGAATGAAAGCAAAAAATGTCGGAAATAACATCAAATTTTAGAATAAGTTTAGATTTGTTCGAATTGGAAAATGTTGTTCTGCGGTATTTTGGCCCATTCCCGGCGAAGCACTTGCTTGAGGTGATCGAGACTTTGGTATTTTTTTTGGTACCAACCTTGCTTTCCAAAAAAAACCCAGAGAGAATTGTCCAACGGATTGGTATCCGGAGATTTTGGTGGCAATTGTGAGCTGGAAATGAAGCAAGGAACCTCATTTTGTAACCATTCTTGGATGGCGCGTGCTGAGTGCGATGGTGCTGAGTCCTGTTGGAACGACCAAGATCTGCAGTCAAAATGTTTGCTTTGCGTGCCCATGGCTTTAATCCACCCTCCAGAATATATTCGCAATAATATTCGGCATTTATTCTGATGCCACGGTCGATTAATACGAGCAGAGAGCGACCATCTGCTGTTATGGCGGCCCACACCATCACCTTTTCCGGCGCTTGAGTTCTGGTCGGGCCACTTTTTTAAATTTTATTGTATCAAAGCAAAAAATGTCGGAAATAGCATCAAATTTTAGAATAACTTTAGATTTGTTCGAATTGGTCACCTTTGGCATGAATTATGGCCTTCAAATGGCCAATGAAACCGTCACACGCTGACCGAATGTTGCTCTGCGGTATTTTGATCCATTCCCCAAGAAGCGCCTGTCAACCCTGATTTCCAAAATACTCCAGTCTCCAATAGTCTAACGGATTGGTATCCGGAGATTTTGGTGGCCATTTTGCGCTGGAAATGAAGCAAGAAACCTCATTTTGTAACCATTCTTGGGTGGCGTCGCGTGCTGAGTGCTACGCGGCTGAGTCCTGTTGGAATGTCCATGGTCTGCGGCCAAAATATTTGCACGTCCAAGGCTTTAATACACCCTCCAGAATATTTTCGCGATTATATTTGGCATTTATTCTGATGCCACGGTCGATTAATAAGAGCGGAGAGCGACCATCTGCTGTTATGGCGGCCCACACCATCACCATCACACCATGGCCGGCGCTTGAGTTCTGGTGGCCAACCGAAGGTGCACATTTTCAGCTTACTGACCTCTTTGCCAAGTAAACACAACAGGATCATTTTGTTTGTTTACAAACTGCTGGACAACGAATGTTTTCTCATCAGAGACGGAGAAAATCAAATTCGGCAGTTCACCACCTTGATTTGGCCAAGCAACTCTTTAGCTCTTTTGGATCTATTTTCTTTCTGTTGCGGTGTAAGTTCTTGCACTTTTTGCAATTTCAATGGCTTTACCCCGAGCTCATTTTTCAATATTTGCCGAATGGAATATTATGATATGTTCAGCTGGCGAGCCACTTTTCGGCCACTGCGACGCGGGTTTCGATCAAGTCGCTTCTTTAGTTTTCGAACCTTTTCTGCTGATGTTGCTGATTTCTTTCGTCCACTTCCTTGATGTCGGGCTACGCTAACAGCAACGCTATCACGGTAACGAGCGATGGTACGAGACACAAAAGATTTATTCGCATTTAAATGCTGGAGTGCTCTAACGATAGCCACTTGTGGTTTTCCAGGTCAAATATAAACAAATCACACTATCACGCTTGAATTCCATCACGAATAACTTTTTATACCCTCCACCATAGTATGGAGGGTGCATTGAGTTTGTCATTCCGTTTGTAACACCTCGAAATATACATTTTAGACCCCACAAAGAATATATATATTCTTGATCAGCATAAAATTCTATGTCGATTTAGCGATGTCCGTCCCTCCGTTCGTCTAACCGTCTGTGGAAAACACTCTAGCTTCCGAACGAAATGAAGTAGGTGGATAAAATTTTACTCAAATATATATTATGTCAACAGGACTTTTGGTATTGAAAATGGGCCATGTAGGTCCACGTTTTGGTATAGCCCCCATATAACAGTACCTCCTGATATTCGGCATTTTGATGATTTTAGCAATATTTTTCACCGGAATTGTTTCAAATTTGGTATTTGATGTTCGTAGTAGATACTACAGCCTATGACAGAAAATTGTCTTTGTAGGTCTACGTCTTCGTATAGCCCCCATATAACCGTACCTCCCGATATTCGGTATTTTGATGATTTTAACGATGTTTTTCACCCGAATTGTTTCAAATTTGCTATTTGAAGTTCGTAATGGGAACTACAGCCTATGACAGAAAATTGTTTGTGCAGGTCCACGTCTTCGTGTAGCCCCCATATAACGGTACCTCCCGATATTCGGTATTTTGATGATTTTAGCGAATTTATTCACTGGAATTATTTCAAATTTTGTATTTGAAGTTTGTAATGGACACTACAGCCTGTGACAGAAAATTGTCTGTGCAGTTCCACGTCTGCGTATAGCCCCCATATAACGGTACCTCCCGATTCACGACCTCTTCTTGACATGGTCTGCCACCTATAAAAAATCGAATGAAAATACACATTCCCCTCCCTTTCACTAGAAAAATGGACATCACTTTTCCATTAATGACAAATGGTCCACACAATTTTCCCATAAAATATGACATGCATGGAAGTATTTTTCCATTCAACACAAGTTTTCCATTGAATAATTTCTTGCATTATAAATTATTAAAAGAGAGAGAGAGAGAAAGAGATAACATAATTTATGAAAAATGTGTTTCCCTTAACCTCCCCCTCCTGCCCACTCCCTACTTCCCTTGGAAAGCAAAAAAAATTCCTTGCACAACAGACAACCAGCGGAGCTTTAAAAAGAAACTGAAAGTTATAAATTGATTTCGACAAGCCAATGTGTCATCCATAATAAATGGCTTGACAAGAAAGTGAAAAGTTTCGTGTTTACACACACACTGTCAAGCGGACATGAATGAACATGCACGAGGGCATGCTAAACTATAAAGTCATAATTTCTTCGCCTCTGTTGTTTTTTCCTCTCTATTTAAGTCAAAGACAATTTGGCCAAAGTTCCTTGGTTGTTATCACCAGCAGAGCATTTTTTTTTTGCGACCAAAAGGGAAGAGTTTGGAAGTGATGCTGACATTGCAAAGGACAAAGGACTATTTAATGGCAGGATATGTTGATGATTTATGTTAGTTTTGTTTAGCTAAAGGGGTTGGGAGGTATTCTTATTTGGCCAAGTGACCTGTATTTTTGTTTTCATTACCTTGGGAGATACTTTATTGTCTCTTTAGGGTTTCTCAGGAAAACGACCAAAAATACAACAATTTTCCAAAATTTTCCAAGTTTTCAAATTTCATTATTCTTAGTTTTATTATTACACATTATTATATAATAGACAAAAATTATCAATTTAAAAAAAATATAGCCGAACAAATTAAAATTCGACCAAAAAATCAAAAATCGACCAAAAATTTGGTATAAAAATGAATTTCCATGAGAATATTTAGGCTACCAGGAACTAATTTAATTTTCCGAAGAAGAAAATTTCTTAGGAAATTTACTCCCCAAAAACAATATGGCAACCCTGCTCCTTCTTCGAGACAATGAAATGCAAGCATAAGAACATAGTCATCTTCTTCTACCGCCTAGTTCATCTGCATATTACCTTCGCCGTAAATAGTTTTCACCACTTTTCCAAACGACTGCTAAAAGGAAGATCCTTTCCCCGAATGGCATCGTTCGCAGAGTTTACCTGCGTCTGCTACGGAAGGAGGAGGGGCTCAACGGCCATTGAAGGACTAATGCATGCATACATTTTACTCGTGAGCTCCTGTGTACATGTGAATGTATTGCTGTTTATTTCCATAAATGGTGCATAATTTATATATGCGAATGTGTGTGTGCGAAAGTTGTGGCATATTGACACAACCGTGTGGCATTAATCCATAACAGGGGTGGGAGAGGAAAATATCAGAGAAAGTCATATTTCTTTCAGGATAGTAGAGATACCTCCGGCGATATCTACTCTTCCGCGGATGACCTCCGGCGACATCTGCCCGACCATAGATGACTCCCAGCAACATTTACTATATCGTAGATGACCCTAGCGACATCTACTCTACCGAAGATGACCCCCAGCGACATCTACTCTGCATTAATGACCTGCGGCGACATATTCTCTGCAGAAGATGACCTGCGCCGACATCTACTCTATAGAAGATTACCTCCGGCAACATCTCCTCTAAAATAACTGGCCTCCGGAAACATTTACTCCACAGTAACTGACTTCCGGCAACATCTACCCTATAGTAGATGGCCTCCGGCAACATCTACTCTATAGTAGATGGCCCCCGGCAACATCTACTCTATAGTAGATGCCCTCCGGCAACATCTACTCTATAGTAGATGGCCTCCGGCAACATCTACTCCACCGTAGATGGCCTCCGGCAACATCTACTCCACCGTAGATGGCCTCCGGCAACATCTACTCTACCGTACATGGCCTCCGGCAACATCTACTCCACCGTAGATGGCCTCCGGCAACATCTACTCCACCTCAGATGGCCTCCGGCAACATCTACTCCACCGTACATGGCCTTCGGCAACATCTACTCTATAGTAGATGGCCTCCGGCAACATCTACTCAACCGTAGATGGCCTCCTGCAACATATATTCTACCGTAGATGGCATCCGACGACATCTACTCCATCGTAGATGGCCTTCGGCAACATTTTCTCCACCGTAGATGACCCTCAGCGACATCTGCTATATAGTAGCTGACCTCCGGCAACATCTACTCTATAG